AAAATAAAATAAAAAAATAAAAAATTCAATTTGATGGTGGAATGATGGCCCTAGGTTTGTTAGCCACTGGCTCGTTAGTGTTACCCTCACAAAACAAGAAACATCTATTTTAATAGGACGTTTGCACRATGACGTCATTGACCTCTACTACCAGACTCCCTTGCACACTTTCTTTTGTTGAGTTAATTAGCACCAATTGTCTTACTATTCTCATGAGGAAATACAAATTTAAATAAGAAAGAAAATTCGCAAAGCATCTGGTTAGTGGGAGTCAAATGACGCCACCATGCAAACGTCCTATTAACAAGTACAATGCTGTTTACTAGAATTTGACCAGCTAAGGTCATGTTTGTATCTTGTTGATCCTGACCTACAGAACAGTTTATATGGTTAATTAGTAATGTTTTTTTAAAAAAAAATATGGAAGTGGTATCGCTTTAGACCACTTGCACTGCACACAATAATTACTGGTTAAAGTTTTTTCTTTATATTCCAATGCCAAGTATTATATTTCCACGAATTTCTATGTGTCTGTGACGTCATACACACAACACTAAATATTGCTCCATACATTTCTTTGTAAATAAACTTYATGTTTTACTTATTTCTATAAGCCCAAAGGTCCGCTGAGGGACTTAACGCTCATAACTTGTGTTAGAGTCATTTTATGGTATCTTTTCTTCAATACTGAGTATAAAACTAGCGGATATTACAAAATACAAAGAAATGTATGGTGCGAAGTTTAGTGTTGAGTGTATGACGTCACATACTCCTATAAAAGTTCGCAAAAATACAAATTGCCATCCGAATTTCAGGAAAAAACTTTAAGCCGTGATWATTAGACCATTAAGGGTTATTCCAGTAAAGTTTCACCTGAATTGAAATAGTTTTATACTAAATGAGTAGTAATTAAATCAAAATTTATCAAATTTATCTTTCTGTCCTTCACATTTACCTAACTTTATGGTAATATTAATTTTCGACAATACATTTTCCAAAAAATACTGATTAAATAAATTTTTCTTCTTTTTCAGGTTCAGATAACAAAGGTTAAATCGAGTCCACTTGATTAATTGTCTTTTATCCTAGTGCTTACGAATGACATCTTGATAATTAATTATGTATCTAGTGCAATAAACCTCCATTATAAAAAGCCAAGAGAACAAAACACCCCAGCCYTCAATCCATCAAAACATTCAAAGTTTTTCTATGGATGTGCACAAACATCATTATTCTATTCAGTTTCTTAAATTTTGTYTTGAGAAAGAGAAGCAATGCACGGAGAATGAGAATGCCCGCTCATTCTCCGCGCGACGTTTTTTTCTTTAAGGACACGGGATAATTTTGTACTGAATAAATAATTAGTCTTATGGTACGAACATGCTGAACAAACATCCTTTATTTGAAATTGAAACAAGAGATAAGTATTATATAATAAAAAGTGATATACCAAGATTATTTAGAAGTCCTTTTGTATGAGTAATGCTTTTTCTTTTTTAGTCATTAGAAGAGAATAATCATGGATAAAACATCTATTTTTCTCTATTACTTGGAGATACGGATTTTACCTTTTCGTGTTGAGAATATCTTACTCGTTCGCTGCGCTCACTTGTAAAATATCACCGCGACATTCGAAGATAAAATCCGTATCTCCGCGAGGCCATGTTATATTCTCTATTTTATTTATAACGTATGTAATAAATGTTAAAAAATTAGCGTTATTAAATATACTTATAGATATATAGATCGCACCAACTCTATGCGACTAGATGAAATCAAATTTGGTAGGAAATTCAAGAAGGCCAATACTTATTTGATTGTAGAAATCGCGTATAATAGTGACACCCTTTTGACGCTTAGAATAGACAGTGCACACTCATTTGCGCAATAACAAGCCGACTAGTAAAGTTGTCTCTCAAAAGTCTATAGAGAATATCTTCTTCGAATACCTCGAAAATCGCCAACAATACGTAAGAGGCTTTTGATTTTGTAGAATGTTTGGAATACTTCATGTTCAATGCCTGGCGTAACTTTTCAATCCTCTTCAGATATTCGCCCTGTGAGGTATAACACATGTTCATAAAAACTGCCAGTTTGACAGGCGAGGGAATTCTCCAAGTTTATGATTATCCTTCACTTTATACTGTACTGCGCAAGTTATGCAACACTTTTGGAGAGGAGGAAGTGGGGTGGGGTATGTACAGAATGTAGCGATATCCAGATTATGAAAGCCAACCGCTCAAGACAGCTCAACACACAGGGGGGAGGGGGGGGGGAATTCACACGATGCGCGCGTTTTTTTAAAGCGCTGAACCAGACCTTACCGTGCATCGTGCACTGCAATGCGCAATTAAAGTGTGTAATACAGATGACAAGGGGGTATATTCAGATTGTAGCTATCACTCAAGACGAAGCACCAGAGTTTACTCGAGGCGCCTGCCTTCCATAAACGCTTAACCCATCTATACGCAATGAGAAACGATTGTTTGTGCGCGCTGTCGAGAACCAAACTGCAAAGCAAATTTCCATTCCCGCACTTGAGTTCGTGCCTGTCTTACACTTAAACCAGCACCACTTTTGAATGCTCTGGAGTCTGCGCTTGCGGCGCTAATGAGCATCATAAAAACGAACTGAGTGGAATGTCAGCTTGGAATAATGCTTCTGCAAACGATTCTGCAAAAACCTGTGAAGGAGAATACATTGCAGACATGGATATAACCATACATACCTGCTTATGGACCTTTGTAAGCTGATCTAAGTTGTTTTCTAAAAAAGAAATCTTTTGTTTTTGTGCTTGACTTCCTCCATCGTCTTCACCGTCACTATCGCTGGCAGTCTGAAAAATAAGCAATTACTTAATATTATTCCTACCCTTCACAAATACAGTTGTCAGGACGTGTATCAAATACTTACTACTTTTAAACGAGCCTGAAGATCTCTGACGAACAACTGCCGTAGCTTGTAGAGGGTGGCAAGTTCTTTGGCCTGCAATTAAAAAATATTGGATACGATTAAAAAATAATCAATGAAAAAAAAAAAAAAAAAAACTGCATTCATGCTTTTTCTCTTTGCATAACCAATTTGGCTGATGAATAATCATTTGTCATAGCTAATGGACATTACTCTTCAAATTAAACATTCCCCCTCCTCCAGCACCACTATACCACTACCACAAATAGACCCACAAAAACATACGCTGCTATGTCTATTCTATGTCGTTTGCTATCGCTAAGGCTACAATACTAACACTCGTTCTCCTACGTCCCTACTATGTGGCTTGTTATCGCAAGGCAAAAGAATCATTCAAGGTATGCGTCACGTATTTCTTGCCCCATACCCCACCCCCATCCCTACCACCAACACCAAACTGCTAACACTTGCGAGTCCCTGTTATGCTTTTCAACGCTATTACTCAAGAATTCCTTCGTACCACAGTCTCTTCGAGGCCTTGGAGGTCTTTCTTTGCTTGTTCTCTCTTCTCAGCTTGAACGCTACAGAAAGTAATATAATATTAACACTTAATAAAGGCACTCATTAAACAATCTATAGGCAACAAAACAAAGCAAAAAAAAAGAAAAGAAAAACAGTAAACACCCGCAAATAAGAACCTAGAATTTTKGAGATCAGACTGAATAGGTTCTTATATTTCAGGGTACTTTTTGACAAATCAGGCTGCACGTTCTTAATAGGTTCTTATATTTTTCAGATTTTGTCGTAGCATAATCATTTACAGATATCTTCAGTGCACTATGACTTTATGGAAAAGCATCTGTATTGTATCAACTGSAAATCATGTTTTAAATTGTCTTCAATAATCATTTGTTAGAGGTTTCAYATACAGTTAACATCAAGAATTTTGACAATCGAAATTGGAGTGATCTTATGTATGAGGACCTCTTTTTCCTCGCCAGGCTGAACAGGTTCTCATAAAATTGAGTATTAAAATGCCATATTTTATCATTTCCTCTACACGTAGATGCAGCTGTCTTGGACGTATTTTAAATACACTTACTTCAAGTCACTGATTCGATCACTCTTCTCTGATAGTTCCTTCTTCAGTTTGTCGCACTCGTTCTGTTAAAAGATAGAGAGTTTGAGGGCATATTTTCTTGCAATGTTAAATTCAAATGTGGGTGGATATGGGATAAGGAAATGAGATGGAAAATAGAAGTATGAATGAAAGAGGAATTCTACCATTAACTGATCTGTTTGCAAGTCCTTCTTCTGGTTGAGCCTGCGAAAAAAAAAAAAAAAAAAAAAAAAAAGAATAAACATATAATGATAGCATTCATTTGATGAATATTTTTTCTATTTTCACGATAATCTCACGGTTAGGTATCCAAGCATTCTGATTGGACAAGCAGTGAAGTTGYGCACTGTGACCGTGATCTTTCACAGTTATACAGTTTAGCTATATATGTAGGGTGGCCCTGAGGCATCCCTTGGTAAAGGTCAAAAAGACATGGATAGCCTAGGATCGCCCCAGCCTCATGTACACTGGCCCGCTATTCATGGCTTACAATCTATACACGCATAGATGCAATAGAGGTTTTGCACCATCACGTGCCCACGCCCGTAATACAGCTTGGGCTCCCTGTGGTATTATGGCAGATGGAATTGAATTCTTTCTTATTTAAAAAGATTGTATTGTTCATCTGCCATCTAACATGGCTGCCGCCACGTGACGGTGCAAAACCTCTATACATGAGTGGCATGCAGCTGTGACTGCACAAGGCTACCACATCCCGTATTGAGATTTTGCACCTTCACGGGCCCACGCCCACGTGTTGCTTGGCTGTTTGTGGTTGGATGGCAAAACAATGAAATCCCTTTGCTCTTGGGAAAGTGGTGGTTCTTTCTTATGTGATGGTGCAACGCCTGTATTAAGTGACTTACTCTTTCAGTTGGATGATATGGGTATTCTGTGATTCAATCTCATCTCTCAGGCTCGCTATCTGTTTCTGGTGAGCATCCCGATGAGACTCCATCTGTTTTTCCAAGGCAGTCTTAACATAAGGATAAAGAAGTATAAATATATAGTGAACCATAGCACTGATATAACTAAATATCAAAGTATCGCTGAAACTAAAAGAAAACGTTGGAAATGATCTACACATCAATACAAAAAAGAAGCGAACAATCAGAACAAAGACAGCGATACAAAACATTCTATGCAAATATGTGTGTGTGTGAGGGAAGGGGATCGAGACTGGGATAGGGAAAAAAAACTTAGAAACGTTTATTTTTATTGTACGGATGGACGAAAATATTAACCCCTCATGCCCTAACCCTCTCCCCCTTCCCCCTCCCCCCAAAAAGCGAGGAAGTCAACAAATCATACTACATTCATCCAGTCATAAAGCTTAGATAAACTAGTAAAATCATGCGTTGATGATATATTATGGTTACAAATGTGTTGTGTCTCCTCTGTGTATACAACAAAAGCTTTAGAGTAAAACTCTTATCCAAATTTATGCACTATGAATGAATAACATGCTGTGAGGGGCGGTTAATTTGCTCTGAAAGGCCATTTGTATTATAGCGGTATACACTACCACTACCAGACTCAAATGTCACACGTTCGAAGCAATAAATCAGCACCATGTTCTTGATATTCTCACAAGGGAATAACATATTAAGAAAAAAAAAATCGCGATGAATCATGTCAAACAAAGRAAATGAAAAATTGAAGGTTTTTTCATTAAGAGTATCGCCTTCTTTCAATATTTTCATGAAATCGAAATGGATGAAGTTTAGCCCGCATAAAGATCTCTCTAAATAGGAACCACGTAAAGAGGAATGAACTTTGTAAAGAAAAAATAAGTAAATTTATGTTAAAAAAATTATGTAAAAAAATTAAAAGACCCCAGATCCATTGAATCCAAATTACTGACATCGCTTATAGGTGATTAAAACTGAACGACAAAAAGGAAACCCATAAAAAAAAAAAAAAAATAGCCGTTTTGCAAAGCGCTTTACTGAAATTTTGATCATTCTGAATGCAAATAAAAAAACGCAGGTAAAGAAAGACAGCGCGAGAAAAATCCAAGAAAGCTATTAAAAAATGCTCTCAAAATGTTGACACAAAACACCTGACCAATCGTCAGGACACCAGGATGTTTGTTAAAATACATATTAACAAAAACTAGAAGCTGGACAGTCGAGGGCAAAATACTGTAGACTTTTGATCCAATAATCCGAATTGTACTGAGTTAAAGGTGCTTGATTTGGATTTGCCAGTCAAATCCTTGAGAGCAATAATCTATAATCTATTCTTCGGGGTGTTCTGGAAAGGTTTGACTTGAGTTTGAAAAATAATCATGATAGTGAAATGAGATGGGGTTTCTAAAGAGCTTTTGAATTCAAACAACTCTGCATTTCTCAATAAAATGTACAATTGGAGAATGATAGTAGAAGTAATAGGCATCAACCAACCCTTGGTGTTGAATTGACGAGAACTTGTGCAATAACATCGGTTAGAGAATCGATCACCTCAAGCAGCGACAACTTACGACTGCCCGCCATTTTCTAATGCAATTTCGTCTGGATTTCTTTGCGATAAGGAATGATTTTTCTAGTCCTGTTTCCGAATGGAAATTGATATAACCAAATGTTTGCGAATCTTGGACGGTAATTTCCCTGCGGTTGGCTTGTCTTTTGGAACTGTTTGAATTCATCAAGWGCGAGACGAAAGATTTTTGCAATTATCTCGTTGGACACAAACTATACTGGGCAATAAATTTACAATTCTGATGAGCTTTGAAATGTTCTAGTAATTGGAGACCAGTTAACGAAAACACTACTTGAGAAAACACTAAAAATCTTTTGATTTGGCTCACTAAGTCAGTCTTAAAGTAGTTCTCTATTACAAATATTTATTTTCTAGAAGCGGAAAACACATTGGTTGTATTTGGAATAAGAAGCGAGTTGGTCCACAGTGTTGATGGTTTGCTAATGTTTGACTGATGAGCAAGCGCAGGCGCAATTATGGGAAAGTTAGCTTACTTTTGAGCACGAAAGAAAAAAAGAAAAAAAGAAAAAATGGAAAGTAAAAGGAAAGGAAAAGAAAGGGAAGATTAATAGAATTGATAGCGAAAGAAAGGGAAAGAAAAAGAGAGGGGAAGCGCATAGAACAAAAGGACAAAACAAAACAAATGCCAGACTCCGTTCATGTAACATTACCATGTGTTTTTGAGGCGGAGATAACATTAAAGATCAAACACTCGATCGTCAAGAAGGAAAAATAACACAAATGCAATTCAACTGTTTAATGAGGGTACTTTACGAGCAGCACGGGCTAAATGACAAAAACAGTTTTTTCTTTTTAACCGAATGACGGAAGAAAATATTATACTAAGACTTGCAATTAGGTCGGTAAAGGGCGCTATGACTTTCGACCAGACTCAAGTGCATAAGATTTATATTTTGTTCTTTTCTTTTCCATGTCTTTCAAAAGATAAAAAAATAAATAACCTTAAATTTTTATTCCTTGTCTCTCAAAAWATAAAACATAGAAACATATATCGACTGAAAAGTTGTCACAGCAATTTTTCTTTCTATATAATGAAAGCAAAGGAGTCAAGACTCGATC